TTTTTTTTTTTTTTTTTTTTTTTCCCCCCCCCCCCCCCCCTCCCAGGGACACCTGTCTGGTTCTTTGTGAAAATTGCTCCTATACGAAACGAGCAGGATAAAGTGGTTTTATTTCTTTGCACTTTCAATGACATAACAGCTTTCAAGCAGCCCATTGAGGACGATTCATGCAAAGGTTGGTTTTTCTCACAGTACAGTTGCATATTTATGCCATTTTTGCTTGTTTCCTCTGAAGCAGCTGATGTCCTATAACTCCAAAGGCATAAGAATTAGCCATTAAAACAGCATGCCATAGAAGGCTTTGTCTGTACTAGTACAGCCCATGTTGTATGACTGTCAATTTTACCTCAGCTGGAATGGTATTGGCCAGTGGCTGGAAGGACGGCCTCCGTGGAAAAATCCGAGCATGGCAGGAAGTAGGCTTTTATCAACCAGTAGGTAGCACTCTTCCTTTTTAAGTCAGTGTTGCCCAGTGGTCCAGTATCAAACTGGGCATGGGGCTGTTACAAGTGTCAGCCTGTGGATGAGACCTAAACCTGAGGTGCTGACCACTTGTAGGTAGCAAAAAGTGCTGAGTTCCTCCTATGAAGCCTTCAGCCATTGTAGCTCCTTTGGAGGCTGAAGCTGCTTAGCTTCTCTGAGTTGGACCAAGAACCCACAATGCTTTTTGCAACAGCTGGTGCTGCCCCTCCTGTTAGAATCTTGCCCAGGTTTGGGTTATTTAATTCTACCTGCCTAAATGTAGCTCTAATTACAATGGGTCTGATATTCTTGAGGCATTATCTTTACTGACATCCATGAAAAGGCTTCTAAATGACTTCAGTAAGAATCAGATCAGGCCTTATCTTTCCAAAATTGCTACGTATGGCTACTGCATGCTGCTTCAGTCCAGTGTTGAATCCACTCAGGAAGTGATAACACTTCAGCTGAGGGTGAATTGTAAAATTATAATCAGGCCCTGATCTTGCAAACTCATGCGTATGAGTGGAGCTCTGTGTCAAGGTGGACGATAGTTTATGAAAAGCCTTGGATCCTCTGGGGTGAAAGGTACACAAGTACAAAAATATACTCTCTGCCAAGCTACCTGTAATAAATATTTTTGATGATTGATTTTTCCATTACTTTAATAAAACTAGAGAATGTATCTTGTAATTGGAAAGATCTGGTCAATAGAAAAAGGTTTTCTATCCTGTGTGTAGTGATATTCCTTATATTCTGACAAGGACTGACAGCAGAAATAAATCTGTATTATGTACTAAAGTTTGCCCTCATTTATTTGCTGGGAATGACGGTTCTTGATTCAGTTAATCAGTCACTGAAGTGGGGTTTTCTTTTAGGAGCGATAACCCATAGTTCTTGTCTGTGCTGCTGCTGAGATTAACTTTCTCCTGCAGATTCTTTTAACATGGTAGTGAACTATTACTCTGTAAAAGAGACTCATTCTCTGTCCTGAAGATAAGGGAATATTCAATTTTTGTAAGAGGGGAAGGGAAGGAAAAGTAAACTCTAATCAGCATTTGAAAGCACTTCCCACTTTTCAGTTTGTAGAATATAATGTTTCTACAGGAATGATAGCGCTCAGCAGTTTCGTGTCCAAAGTAATGTGGAAAAATTAAGCCCATTAATCCTTATAACAGATAGGCAGAGGAAGATGAATACCAAACTTTAAAAATCTGTGTGATTAAAGCTAGACATCTAAATAGGAGTGGTCTGATTTTTTCAAAGGAGTTAAGCATAACTTCCAACAAACTGGCTAAAGTGACTTATCCAAGACTGCAAAGGGTGGAAACGGACATCTGCTTTTTCATTTGTGCTGCCTTAAAAAGCACAAATGTGGAGCAAACTGATGTCCTTACTTTTTGTTGTGGCACATGATCCGAAAATCAGCAGTGCAACAAAAGGTAGTAGTAGACTCTGTCACCTTATTGCGACAGGTGTCTATTACCTTGCAGTGCAGGGAGGGGGATATCCTAGCTTTCTCAGCTGCTTCAGACCCACACTGGATTGGGGAGCACCTCAGCATTTCCTGCTGCTCCAAACCTGTGGGTTTGGGGCACTGGGAAATGCTTGGTTGTTTTCTCACCCAGCCAACCCCCTAAGGTTGGCTGAGTGTGGAAGCACTTTTCCCTGCTGCCCTAGACCCATGGCGTAGGCCTGGGGCAGTTGGGAAAGAAGGGATATCACATTGCCCCTTGTCCCATACCCTCAAGGGTGGAACAAGGGCGACTTACGTTTTTCCCAGTGAAGTGAACCAGCTGTGCCATGACGCATCGCAGCACAGCCGACTTGCTCCTTTTGTTAATGTCTGTTTCTAGCCAAATGTTCTGCAAACACCAAGAAAATTTAACAAGCATAAGTCAACCTTCATTATTGGGTCTTAATGAACCTTTGTAGTTGTGTGAAAGACCCAAGGAGGTCCTGCTCTAGCAGGTGGGGGGACCCTGGGTTCTCCTAGTTCCCAAGGCTGTTCATGCATTTTACCCCATTACAGTTACTGCTAAATAAGTCAGATACAGATGCAGGAAGCGTTCCCTCTAAGCTGTGTGGTGTGTGTAACTACACTGGCACACCTGGCAGCGCTTCGTGAGCCACACAGCATGCCACACAGCTTAGAGGGAACGCTGGATACAGGGCTGGAGTCATGCCGTTGTTAGCCATGGCGCTGTTCTAGCTTGCTTGATTGATTGATTGATTTATTGTAGAAGGGGGGCAGTAGGGGTTGCATTGATGTCAGGGGGAGGAGATGCTGGGTGAACCAGGTGACCTGGAAACCAATGGCTCACTGATCCATAGTATGCCCACTCTACCCTGCTGTGCAAGTGGGATGTGTCAGTGTAGAAGTATAATTTCAGGAGAGATTTGGCAGTGGAGTGAGATGCACCAGTAAAACAGGGCAGCAGAATGTTGAATATTTTACATGCCTGGGAAAGTTGAAGACCTTGATGTCTGTTACTGCTAGTCCCACCACGTTTTCTTTTCTTCCTTCAAACCAGACACACACTGGTTCCTGTTAGAAATTCCAGGTAATGTTTTCCAGCAGGCCTCTTCTTCATCAAGAAGTACTGAGGATGGCCACTAGGGGGCTTTCCAAATAGGTCAGTCTGGGCATCTATCCCAGTAGCATGGAGAAGGGGTTGCAAGCAGACACAGCACCGTTTGAAGAAGCCTGTTCTCTGCCCTCAATGTTGTTTATGCAGTTTTCCTAGTGAATCTTCAGTACATGCACAGAAACGGTGAAAATGAGGGCTCACTTCCTCCCTACCTGCTTCCTTGAGCCACAGTCAGTTTCCCTTTTGCTTGTTCCCTGCCTGTCCCCAGGATTATAGGCGACTTGTGCCGCCTTAGGGGGGGCACGTGTGCCCCCCCGCGACCAGTCCTGCCGACCACGTGGGTGGGTGCCCCTATGGCTAATCCTGCCAACGGGGGCACGGGAATCCCCCCATGGCTGATCTTGCTGCCTGGGGGGAACCCTGCAGCTGATCGCTGCAGCCACTTCTGGGAGTGGCTGTAGCCACTTCTGGGAGCAGCTGCAGCTATCAGCTGGTGGTTGTGGGGGGGCACTGGCCCTCCCGCCTACCCCCCCCGCCTATCACCTAAGCGGCAAGCGTGGCTGGTAGGGGGTGCACTGATGCTCTCAAGGGGTGCATGTGTACCCCCTACACATTGCCACTGCCCAGGATGCTATCCCTCTTGGCTATTCAGTAGCCTAGTCTCAACAAGGTGGGGTGGGGGGGAACCCTGAGAGCCCAATCTGGCCCAACCTGGTCTAATGGTTAGGCTGTTGCCTTGTAATGTTGGAGGTTAGAGGTCAAATATCCACAGAGGAAGGCAAACCTAAAACTTAGGTTTCTACTGTCCTCGTTAGTGCTGTTAGTCCTAGACAAAAGTGTGTACAGTGTCAAACAGTTTCTAATTTGTGATTTTTGAGTAACAACAATTTCTGGGGTTACACTGCACTTCAGTGTGTCCATGATGAAACCTGAGTTGCAGTGGAATGTAAATGGAGTTTGCTATCTCTGGCGCATTGCTGTATTGCTTCTGAGCACATTCAGTAGAGACAAAATTAGTTAGTTGCATAGGCCAGAGCTACAGCTCCATAATGTATTTACTTATGTACCGTCTATTCAGGCTGTTTTATACAAAGTAAAGTAGTGACTTGTCTCACTTTACATCTCAGCAGGAGAACAGAATTCTGTCCTTACTGTAGAACAGGGGTGAGTAATTATTTTGGCTGGAGGGCCACTTAGTGAGTTTTGGTGAACTGTTGAAGGCTGCAAGGGTACCCCCATCCCTTGACAAGTGCTGTGCCCCTGGTTGCCATCTTGGTACCAGAAGTCTCGCTCCCTAACCCCTGACCTATGTCACAGGAAGTCCCTGCTCTTGACTTGAAAGTACTCCTTTTGGGAAGGGGGATTGCCATCTTGGAACTGGGAAAACCCCCCCAAATTATATACTAAAAATCTAACATCTACAATAACATATTTTAATTTTATTTTTAAAATAAAATTTTATTTGTGGGCTTGTGTGAGGTGTGCATGGGAGCCTCCCCCATGCACACCCCCCTGATTCAGTCAGCACCTGCCCTTGCCCTGCAACAGCCTGGAGCCCATGCGCCCTATGGTGCCTTCCCACCTCCACCAGCAGTGTGGGGCTGCTGCAGGAACCACTGGGCAGCGCTCAGGGGGAGGGGCTGCTTTTACCCCCATGCTGAGGACCCTTCTGCCCCATTGGTGCTGCTGTTGCTGCATCTGTTCAGCGTGAGCAGGTGAGTCTGCAGCAGGCGTGGGGTGGGTCTGGGCTGCATGTGGGTCCCTGCCAGTACCACGGGGCTGGGGCCAGTAGCTGTTGCCACTTGGGCTGCCTAGAAAGGCAGTCCAACGTGGAGCCATCCCAGCCTCACTGCCTGCCTAGGGGGTGGCAAGATATGCCAACTTAGGACGATGCCTAGGCCAGGTGGAACTGAGGGACCTGCCACAGGCCAGATCCAGCCTGTGGGCCATATTTCATCCACTCTTGCAGAGGGCAAAGAGTTCTGTCCTTCTCAATGTCTTTTCAAAGAGAAAATTACTTTTTTGACCAAAACAAAATTCACAGAAATGTTTAACTTATAATTTGTGACCAAAGGGGAAAAACCCTAGAAAACTGAAACCAAATGCTTTTACTAAAAACGATGTT